TGGCTTACTCTGACTCACATTCAATCATGTTTCACATGGTGAGATCCCCTGCATGTGATATAACCCAAACACTCCATGTATGGCATATTTACCTGCATTGACCCCTGAAACCACCCCAATGTAGGTAAATATGCCAGTTTCTATGGAGTGTCAAGGTAATGAAACATTAAGAAACGCTTCTCCTTCCCGGTCGGAGTCCCCAAGCTTTCGAAGAGACTTCACACCAGAAGCTTCCAACATGTCCATGGATCCCCTCCGATGATTCATGTTTCTACTACCAAATCGCAGGTCGCACGTGACAAATGACCTGAACTGGTGTACAATCTGAGGGTCGATTCTAGCACTTTGACCTGCTAGATCCCACAAGCCCAAGAACTTCACCTTCTTCCTGCAACAGCCACCAGCCACTCCTCCTAAACCGTGAGTCACTTGGGTGGGGAAGACCTCCGCTCGATCGCTCCCGCTGGGACTCCTGGCAGTTGGGGAAGCTGAGATCTCAGGCGGTGGGGTGCCGGCCTGGGCGGAGGGGCATCTGGAGTGGCACCGGTGAGACTGAGTGGCACCGGATGTGGGTGGCAAGGGATTGCTTAGTTGGCCCTGACAGAAGAAGAGATGTCATACTTGTACAATTGGGAAACATATAAATATGGGGAAAAACATGAGAGCTGAACAGGCTCAACACGAAAGTGATAGAGATTTCTCTATGAAACTTGGAGACCAAAGAGAAAACATGTTTAAAAAACAAAGAAAGACTCTCAATGAGCGGACTCTTCATGTGAGACAAGTCAACATACCTCCGGCCTCAAAAGCTTGTGTCTCTCCCCCACTCCCCACGTGTTCACCACCGGCCGCCACGTGTTCACCGCCGAACGGACGCGAGAAGACTCTCTGGGCGGGACGGGCGGTGAAAAGCACTTCTTGACCGTCGCAAAAGGCATAGGTGCTCGCGGTGGCATCCAAGTCCTCACAAATGCGACCAGATGCGACCCCTCAAGATGAGATACCTCCTTCTTCGGATTGAACAAGCAGGATGGGGTGGTGGAGGGCGCAGAAAAGGCGCAGTGAAAGGCGCAGCGCCTCACTTTCAAAAGCAGGCCAAGAGCCAGCAACAAAAGGCCGAGACAGCCAGAAACCACAGAAGAAAGTCAAACCCCCAAACGCAATCTCCCACCCTCGGTTCCAAAGGGGTGCCTATTGGAAGGTAGGTGTGTCCATCTACTCAGTTAGGGACTAAAGCACACTAAAGCCATTCCACTTTGGCTTTTTTTGAGCATCCCCTAGGCACCACGTCATTCCAAGCTCCAGCTGAGCACCCTGGCCAGCTCCGGATGCTCCGTCGTCGATCTGGATCAGGGGTGATGGGCTGTGCTGAGTGTGTATTCCAGAAGCTTTACGCTGAGTTCAGTCGACTGGTCGACTATGTTCAAAATGGACTGTCAAAAATCAATATATATATATATATAGTCTTTGGACTTATATATATATATGTATATGTAGGGTTTACTTGGAATTGCTGATGCGGGACAACATATATCTAAACATTCCCCATGCCAAGGGGGGGATTCCCTCTGACATGCAAACACCCCACAGTCCAAACATCCTGGGAGCCACTTGGGACTGGCATCTTCTTCCAAAAAGCACCTACAATTCGATGCTTTAAGGGGCCTGTGACCACACGTCTCGAATTCCAGCCACCATTGCTTCAATGGCAGCTTGAGAATCCCGAACGCTCGAGCTGTTCGAGCTGGATGTTGGAAAGTCTTTCAGGGTAAGAGGGTGTTTAAAAACAGCAATCCATGCATGGAGTGTTGCTGAAACGTGGATATCTTCACTCCCTTCCTCCTCGCCCTGGATGCTCCCTTCCTTCGGCTCCGCTGGGCTGCCCGAGCAGGCGCAGGGAGGCTTCCAGTTCGGGGCCTTGCAGCCGGGATGCCGGGACGCCATGTGTAGCACCATCCTCAACACATCGAAACGAAAAGCTGACCCAAGCCAGGCACTCCATGTCTGTCATATATACCTACATTGGTTCCATTGGGGTGGTGCCAGGGGGATCAATGTAGGCGTCTATTCCATACATGGAGTGTATGGGCAAGCCGATGATTTTCATAGCTTGTCGAAAGGTCTCGAAAACAAGGAGCCTTGGGCCTGCAGAAAAGTAAACTTATTAGGAGGCCCTTCTTCCCCTTCAACACCCCGGCTGAAAAAGGAGGCGATTCTTTCCCAAATCCTTGGCCAGCGAGATAAGCATGGCAGCATGGTCAAGTGATTGGATTTACTGTCCTGGCGCCAAGAAAACAACACAAATACAATCTGCATTCCCCATGCCAGTCGATTCACCCAAGAAACTCCCACCTCCACCTCCACCTCGCCTTTCCCCCCTCCCTTAGTAGGTGCTCGGCTGAGCTCCCGGAAGACGGCATAGGCGCGCGCGAAGCGCCTGCCCCAGAAGGACTTCCGGAAGGATGGAAGGGCAACAGCCAGTGGCGTCATTTGGATTTGTCCAGTGCAGTTGTCCTCTCCAGAATTTTGATCTCCTTCTTTCAGCGGGGGGGGGGGTGAACTCGTTCAACCTTGTGCATGTGTCGTGGGGAAACCCACATTGGATAAGGTTGAGAAAAATCCATCTCAAGCAAAACTTAAGGTGCTATATAAATGCAAATGATCAGCTTGTCATAGCAGGTCGTCGCCCCCATGTGATCTCTCGGTCTCGCTGTTCAGCTCAGTATTTTCACCGGTCCGCTGCTGTTCTGCAGCTGTATGTGGTTTTAGCGGGGGGGAGCATCTCCTAACGGTTGCTAAATGATCCTCAAGGCCAATATATCAACACATTACACCAGCACCGACCCCCAAACAGTATTAAATTGTTTGATTCGCTTTTCAAATCTTTTCCATAGCCATGACATACACAGGCAAAATCCACGTTGCAAATTCCGCTATGTTAGCAGCTATCACTGAGACCTATGCAGCAAAAACATGATGCCAGTCGTTTCAACTCGTCTCCCCTCTTGCAGCTCTTGGACCAACTCCGCGGACACACTCCATCCGTCTCGAACGGTCCCCCGGTCGGCGCCTCAACGGCTGATCCCACCGGAGACGAAAGGTCTGAGGCTCATGGGAGCCTGAGCGAGTCGGCCGAGTCTTGGGTTTTTTCTCGGCGCATGGGCTCTCTTAATCAGTATATCTTTGGTTGGTTGGTTGGTTGGTTGGTTGGTTTGGTTTGGTTGCTTGCTTGCTTGCTTGCTTTCTTTGCTGCTGTTGTTGTTGTTGTTGTTGTTGTTGTGTTTTTCGTGTCACGGGCCAACAGCGACGTGAACATTATTGTTTTCGAGTTTGGTGACCTGGTGACCTTGGAATGTCGACTGATCTCTGAGACTGGGCCGAGTTCAACCCCGGCCAGGAAGCAACTTGATAAACCGAGTTCAAAGTAAAGAACCAGGTCTTGAAGAGTGCTCCGCCACGAATATGGGTGCGTAGCTCAATTATGGGAGACCGACTGCAGGCACGGAGCGTTCTGACAAACGCCCTGGAAGGTTCGCAAAATCGACACCTCTGTCTCTCCCTATCAAGTACACACCCATATGGAAACATGGGCCTACCGTGGAGAACAACATTCCTTTAAAGGTGGGGCGTGCTTGTTAGGAGGCTATCAACTATGGATGACACAATCATGCAACTCTCATATTGCATTGATCTATATTGATTAATATCTAGCACCCTTCCACCCAAATGGGGAAGCAAAACATGTCCTGTCTGCTACTTGCAACTTGGACCTTGGATTTTGTCAAGGGTGCATCACAGGTGCATTCGGTTACGGGCCACCACCCAGGCGACCAATCTGCACCAGCATTGTGTGTTCCATGTTCTTTGCCAGTCTATCTCCCAAAAAAACCTGCATGACGCAGAAACCTTCGGAAACCTCCTCCAGTTGCCATCAAATCTTGAAGATGACAGGATCCAGGATCAGCCCTGGCACCCACACACCCGCCCACTACCACGCCCGTCGCGCCATCATTGGCCACGGCCAAGAGATGCAGGAAGCTCTGCGCCGCCTGCGCCAACACTGCTTCTCCATCTGCATCTCCCATTCATACGAGGATTATGTAAACTTGAAAGACTCATCTCTCTCACCAAACATGGAAAAGTAATGAAAAGTAAGCCACATGTTCTACTTCCGCGTTTCTGAGTTTCAAACCACAACATGGCCTACAGCCTGCCGGGGCAGTGAGAACCCCCAAAGCTTGCTGGCGCATGCTGACTGATCTCATCTAAATCCAGCCCATCGGTCTGATGCCAGTAACATCGCTCATCCTAGACTACATCAAAAGCGATACATTTCCCGAACAAAAATTGGTTTCCGAGCGTGAAGTCCCGCTGTCAAACAATTCTTGTAGCTTTTGACTCCTGGGGCGTGTATTTCTTAGGTGCATCCCATTCCCGTTCCACAGTCGATGATGATGGTTAAGTTGCAAACCGTTCTCAAAATAGGATCTTTTACCTACCAAAGTGGTTCGGTGACCTTGTTATAGGACCCGTCACCTGGGTACCTATGGGATAGTCTAGTTCGGGTTCTGACTCCCGACCCACCTCTGTTGGTACTGTTGCGACTCTACTCTCCCGAAAGCTAGACCCAGTGATCGCTTTCAGGTGCGGCCCCGAAAAGGCCTGCGATTCGATCCCCATGATGGACAGCTTGAGCCAAAGTGGGAGAGGCTTCGGATCAGGCGAGTCATCTCTTCAATGGATCAGGCGAGTCCGCCCAAATCTACAGGACACCCAGGCGTTCCTCCCGTCAAAACTGTGGGCTTCCTGCCGAGGTGCCCTATTAATCAATCCCAATGGGGAACAAAGCAGTCCGAGTGAAACAGCTGGTGCGCCAGGAGAACCCCAAGACCTTCAATACCACTGAGCTGTATAAACGATTTTCCCCTACAAGACTGTTGGCTTCGTTTTTCCTCTATGAGGCTCTATCCAGAATCCCCAAAAGCATCCACAAGTCGTGCGCCCAGAATATCCAGCTGGATGAGTCGTTCCGGCTCATGCACCGAAAAACCCACGCCGTGGCCGGTCGGAGCTGCAGGTCGACCGGAGTCTTCTAGGCACTGCGGACTCGCCATGGGGGTGGCGGGAGCTTTGCCAAGGAAAACACCTCGCTATGACCCGATCCCTCCGTCCGCACCGTCGGGGCCGTCATCTGACCGAACGACTTTTTGCGGGCGTTGCTGCAGGTCATTTGGCGCAACGGCTGCTGTACCTGAGGCCGGAATGGGTCACAAAGATCTGGCACATTAGACGCAGTTAGACATGGTCCCAAATGAATCAACGGGATTGAACATACTAGGGTCTAAGTGAGAGAGAGAGAGAGAAGTCGTAGGTCTATGCCAGACCCTAACAGCACCCTCCAGCAACTCAGAGGAAAAGTCCAATACCCATGACAACCCCGCCACCAGTCCCTTAGCTCCCTCTCACCAACCAGCAATGGTTCCAATACACACCAACATGAACATGACTGACGAATACTGATGATGAATCTGAAGCTTGCTCAAACATGTGCTTGTAAACAACTAAACTTGGAGATTGGTCCGGCCAATCGTCCAGATTGGTCCAACAAATCGGAGTTATCCCAACCATACCACACGGAGGGGCTCGGTCTTGGTCGCTTTTTTTGGGGGGGGTGGACCTACGGAACGACACTCGTCTGGAAGAATCTTTTGGTAGAGGAAACAATCGCATCTATTTATATACCTATATTGGATCCTATTTTGTAGAGGAACATGTGTCCTCCAAGGAGCCATGTTCCACTTTTGTGATCATTTCTTATAAGCATCAACAATCTGCCCCAGAGTTGAGCCAAAGTTAAAGGATGTCAAACTATAAGTTAAAGGGTTCCATAAAAAAGAGTGGAGCACTGAGCACTGCCTACAAATCTTTGTTGGGTCTATTCTTGATTTCTTTGGAGTTGTTGGATGTGCAGGATAGACTAGGATAGATCCAATGATCCAAGATCTCCCCCAAAAAGCACAACCCGAGGGTGAGGAGAAATCGTCATCCCCTCCCTCGCACTTGCGACTCCATCGCGAGTTTTCGGAGGGGACTGTTCATCATCGATCTCTGGCAAGGTCTCCAGTTGCGCCCGCGCCTTTCCTTCTGAGAGGAGGCGATGATTTGCCTGAGTGAAAAAATCAGACTGAGAGGCCTTTCCCATCACCTCCCTCCTCCTCGCCGAGAAGTCATGAAGATACTTCTGAAAGGTCTTTTGTTCAAGGGCGAGATCATGATCTACGATTACGAGTATTGGGTGAGTCTCTTGGAAGTACTGGGTGGCAGTATTGGCATTCCTTTGGACAAGTCTGGGCTCATGGTGAATCTCTTGGCGTCCAAACAATTTGTTCAAAACCACTTTGGATGATGATGATGATGATGATGATGATGATGATGATGATGATGATGATGATGATGAT